AGCTGAACTGTTAGGAATGGGTGGAAATCAGAAGAATAGGGCAAGTTTCACCGGTGACCAGATGAATTTAGGTGGTTTTCCTCAGATGTCCATCAACGACCAGAGGATGGGACACTCACAAGATGGAAGTATCAGAAACATTAAGATGAACCGAACTTCAGTGATCCCACAGTTACAGCCCATCTTCCCCAGCTCACAGATCTGGCCTGCATATGGGCCTGCCAGTGTGCATCCTGAAGCTATGGGATTTCTGGTGTATCCGCATAGAGCCCTTCCAACACAGGTTCCTAACTACATAGACGAGAGGGATTCCCGGCAACTTTCGAACATGATTCCATACTACCCTATACCAGTGGCCCCGCCCTATCCTCTCGGACCCAGTCCTTACATTTATTCAAATAACCCTTTGAAAAGTATTTATCAGGACATAACAATGCCTGCAGAAAAAATAAGTAAACCTGCAGTGAACAATAATAATGGCCAAAAGATTGAAGGAAAATTGCCATTTATCGTTGTCTTAGAACAAAATTGAATTATTCAAATCAGTGTGAAATTCCACCAATAATTCTAATCAGTTTGGACAGTTGCAATCATATCTGAGAAAACAGAAATGGATTAGAACAGAGTCAGTGAAGGTGTGATGGTTAAAATAATAATAATAACAATAATTATAAATATTATTATTATCATTATTACTACTATTACTATAAATCGTCTTGTGTGAAAATCTTCTGAATCCTGAAATTCACCTAAATAATAGACAAAAATCCAATTCCTACATTATGAAAAACAGACTCAGTCTCCACTAGGATGCTGAATTGGAAAATGTTATTTAGGAAAATAATTGCTGTTTGTTTTGAGAATCGTACAAAACACACAAGTACTAACTGTGGGGAAAAGGCAGCGTTCTTAAATAACAAAGAAAGTGAAACATGTAGCAGAAGCTGCGCTTGAAATAGTTAACATGGCCGACAAAATACTCGTCTCTTCAAAATGTCGAAATTCCTGACAACGAACTAAGTACTGACACATTTTCGGAAAAACACAAAATACAGTTTATAAATCAGTTAAATTAACGTTGCAAGGCACAGTAAAGATACAGGCCACTCACTTCAAGTCTATAAACATTACATTTAGCCCACAGCATGTCCATATGTTTCGCATGATTGTCAGAGTAAACAGCTACTATTTCCCTAAACAGCATTAATAGATAGAATTTTATAACGAAGGCTCAGTATGGATACCATGAGGAAGGAACTACATTTTTTAATATTATTAAATAAATTCCAGTGTTCAAAGAGTTAAAGTGACATATAGCCTTACAGAATTTACAAAAAATACAAATTTTTATTCTACTGGCATCTTCTCTATAAGAATTCAGACGGTCAAAGGTTATATATATTATTGCACCAGCCCTGTCCTATCAAATGTATTTCGATGTAATTTGAAGTTTTGTCTGAAATTTCTTATCGTCCTTAATGTTCCAGATTACTGGTAATTACATTTTTCCCTTGCACTGTAATTTGATAACAGTACGTTCTTTTGGATTAAAAATTGTCGCTTCTTCTAGGACTCAAACCAAAAATCTTACTCTGGTGCCATACAGTTTCATAGCTTATTCAAAATAAAACATTTGGGATGTGACAACCTGTTGTCTGGTAAATGGTTACCGATGTTTCGAAGGAACCTGCTGCCCCCATCTACATTGGCAACATTTTCCCTTAACCTGGATGTGGAGACAGTAGATTCCTCCGAAATGTTAGTAACACTCTACAAAGTGTGGTGTTATCACATTCAGTTCCTCCCTTATTGTTCAGTACAGCTGAGATGAGGTGCACTAGAACATAAATTAAGCAAAAACGTGAGCATTATCGATCACATCTTCACTGCCAACCTACTGACAGAGAGAGAGAAGTATGTTAGTGTAAATGAATACTTGGAACGTATTCAGATAACTTATTGTCATTGTGGTGTAAATGAAGCTACCCTGTGTTTAGTTTCTTCGTCCAGTTTCCAGTGTTGTTGAGAGTAAATATTCACAGGGGAACTATGAGACGAAAGGGTAGCTTTAGAATTTGGGTTAGTTTGTTATTTCCGACAGTCATGAACCATACTGTTGGTGGGTGTTGAGTATAACAGGGTTTAACATGGCCTACATCCAGAGTTTCTAAAATGACTGATCAAGGTCAGCAGCATTAAGGACGTCATTTTAGGTGAATGATGGATATCATGTCTATATACAACGGAAATAAGTCCCATGGCTCGAGCAGCTTCACGTCTGTCTCGATCTGTTCTTCTTCTCCCTGGACCGTATGTCACAAGTTCCCTTCTGCTGGCTTAGCCATTCTGTTCACATGAATGTTGACAATGAAAACAGTGTAAGAGACTTAGCTGACGACAAGGTTTGCTGACATGAGTCAGTGCCGGAAGAAAGCAAAGTGGCAGGGAGGTAATCAGAAGCCTGAAGCGTCGTCATCCATGCATTCCGTGAGATTTATTTCCGTTCTATCAGCATAATTTATTTGTAATTGTTTGACGCTCTGATACATTCTTTTAAAATTAGAATAAAGTCTTGTAATGATTTACAAAGAAATATTGTGTTTTCGGGATCTTTCTTAAATTAAATATATACCTGTGTAGGATTGGTAAACTAAATCCCCAAGGAACCTGTAGATCCGGCTACGACGAAAAGTTTTATTAAATTAAGACGATAAGACGATTCGCTGGGAAAATACTTACTGACTTACTCATGGAACTGAGCCCTTCTCGAGGAGAAGCCAAATCTTCAGCTACTAAAGAATTTCCAAGTATTTTACGGAACCCGAAAATTCATTACCGTATTCACAAGAGCCCTCCACTGGTCTCTATCCTGAGCCAGATCAATCCAATCCATACCATTCACTCCTATCTCGCTAAGATCCAAGAAAGATCTAAGATAGCAGTCTTCTGGGATGTGGCGCCTTGTAGATATTGTGTTAACCGATGTTTCGGAGGAACATATCGCCTCTATCTTCAGGGTAGAAAAAAAGAAGAAAATCCGCTAACGAGGAACCAGCGTGAGCAGTGCTCCTGCTTTCTTCATAGTAACCGCCGTGAAAACCTCAAATATTACATTTTAATATTGCCCGCCCACCTACGCCTCCGTCTTCCCAGTGGTCTCTTTCCTTCTGGCTTTCCCATCATTATCCTATATGCATTCCTCTTCTCCCCATTCGTGCTATATGTCCTGCCCACTTCATCCTCTTTTCACTAGGATTATATGAGGTAAAAGTTGAACTTCAGCTTTTGGGGTAATGCATAGCTTAACACTCCCAAGGCCTTCCCTTCTGTTACTAGTGTTTGTCTTTTGTCAGTCTGTTGGGAATACAAGGTTGTAATATCATTATGTTCTTCAGCCTGTGTCCCTCCATGTCTGACCTCCCAATAAGTTTTTATCTCACTGACCGGTTTTCGTGAAACTGGGCATAAATTGAATGACACTAGAGACCAACTCACTCACTCATGGAGCTGAGCCCTTCTTGAGAAGCTGCCAGTTGTGCAGCTACTCAAGAATTTATCAACATTTAATGAAGCCCGAAGGTTCATTACCGTGTTCATAAGAGCCCTCCACCGGTCCCTATCCTGAGCCAAACCTAGAGGACAATAGACCACTGTAATTCATAATTTCCGGCAAACCAGCAATGCAACAAGGCTGTCGTAAGAAATTCTGAGGTGGAGTACGGTTTCAAAATCTTGTATAGTGGCAAATTTTTAAGGCATTTCTTTTACAGGAAGTAAAAAAACAGGTGGCCGCGCCTATTCAATATCTCAGTCTTTGCGGTAGTAACTAATACAGAATGATAATTATACATATGGAACTTTATATGAAGGTAGAGCATAGACATGCCTACAATCTCTGTATGAAATGTTGCTTACAAATCGACAGTTAAAACATGGCGGTGGTGCGAATTTCAGAAGCTGGATCTCAGCACTCTAAAGTTGATATCGAAATGTGTACTAACGTTAAAGTTATGCAGAAATATATTACTAAAGTGTAATTTTATAATTACTAAACAATACTTTTTCTAGCTTCATCATAGAGATTTAAATTATGAAGGACAGTTATGAATAATATTTTATTATTTGTGTGTGTTGAAGAGCATTGACAATAGTAGGCCTATATGGACGGGACAGTGAATTTTAATAGAATTTTCATGTGAGAAAAAAACTTACTGTGAAGCAATTAACAACTTTAAAGTATTGTACCTGCCCGAAATTATTAAATCCAGGATATGATGAGCGCCTGATTCTGTAATGTTTAAATAAGGGATTTTTGTACAAATCAGCCCTATGGAAAGTAAAATTATAATAAATAATAATTATTTTAAGAAATTTTTCGGAATTCTTACATGAAAGCTTGTTTACATGTCAGTTTCAGAAAATGTAGGCCTGCTGACAATTTTGTACACATTAATATACTTTCTTATTAAATTATCATTCCCTAATATCCCATACGCCGGTCACGGTAGCCGAGCGGTCTAAGGCGTGCACTGTCTTCGCTCGCTCGGAAGCCGGGATCGTGGGTTCGAATCCCACTCAGGGCATGGATGTTTGTGTGCGTTTTTCTGTGTTTGTGTACAGGTAGATGCCTTGCGACGAGCTGATCACTCGCCCAAGGAGTCCTACCGTATGTCTAAGATCTAGAAAAACCGAAGTGAACGGAGAAGTTCATGGAGGTAGGCCTAGGCCCACTGGGGCTGTAGTGACAAGAAAAAAAAAATATCCCATACTCATCTGTCATTAAGGGCTACTGCCATAGGCCCATTCAGGGTTACAGTAGCACAGATTCCGCCTTACTAACCTCTTAACAGTAAATAAGCTAATCTTTCAAATGTATACACAAGTCTTTGCTGTCGCTACTATAACTGTCATTAGCATAAATTAATTTTAACGGGTAGCGATATTTTGACTTGCTGGGTCATGTAAAACAGATCTACCTGAAGGAAATGTACCAGCGCAAATATAATACGCAGTCAGATTTTCAGAACGGGATTGTAGGAGAATACGCACTGTATTCAGGCAGACACGTCATATCTGTTTTAACTCCAAAGTATGCATGTGCTATATTACAGCCACGAAAACCAATGTATTCTTCTCAGCTTTTGTCCTCAAGGTAGGTAAATTATTTTTATAACGCACATTATATAGTACGTTATTAAAGTTTCGAAGCACTGTGTTTAAAGTTAAATTAAGTACTATACCATGAAGGCGTATGGGGGAATGGATGTACAGATCCATATTTTCGTTGACCTCGGCAATATCTGGGGGTGAGTGGTCAGCTTTATGCCCCGGCCGCTTTACCCCCCCCCCAGGAAATAACCCCCAGTACCCACTGGATAGGAGGTTCAGTGGACCACAGAGCGGTCTGAACGACAAGAACAGAAAATTCTTAATCCTACTGGGACTCGAACTCTGACCCCTTTGTCGTCCACCCCTTGGCCAGTCGCTATACCAACTCCCCTATCCAGGGTACTACTCGTGTATGTGACTCATGCCTTAACATTAAAAATGTCTGCAGTTTGTTCATAGATTGTGGTAATTTAATTTTTTATGATTCTCACAATAATCAGTTTTTATTAGCGCACTTTACAATATAAAAAGACTTTATGAAGAGATCATATCTGTACTTCCGTGACCTAGTATCAGGGCCTAAACCGTTGGAAAGATTTTGTTAAAAATCGACATGGAATGTTGGGCAGCTCTGCTTTTCACCAGTACTGGTCCATTTCAAGTTATACTTCACATAAAGCCATAAATGTATATTTTCTTGTATATTAGAAACTATTAATCAAGTTTTGTTCAAAGTTTGTATGACAGATCTTTGTATAACCCACATACGCCTTGGTCTTCCCAGTGGTCTCTTTCCATCTGGCTTTCCCACTAATATCCTATATGTATTCCTCTTCTCCCCCATTCGTACTACATGCCCTGCCCATCTCACCCTCCTTGACTTGATCATTCTAATTATACTTGGAGCAGAGTAAAAGTTACAAAGCTCCTCCTGTCACTTCATCCCTCTTCGGTCCAAATATTCTCCTCAACACCCTGTTCTCAAACACCCTCAGTCTATATACCTCCCTTAATGTCAGAGACCAAGTTTCACCCATACAGAACTACAGGCAAAATTATAGTTTTGTATTGGCGCAGGTGGGTGGGCAATATTAAAATGGATCTTAGAGAGATAGGATGAGATAGTATGGATTTGATTGATCTGACTCAGGATAGGGACCGCTGGGGGGCTCTTGTGAACACGTTAATGAACCTTCGGGTTCCATGAAATGCTGGAAAGTTCTTCAGTAACTGCACAATTTGCAGCTTCTCAAGAAGGACTCAGCTCCCTGAGTGAGTGAGTGATATTTGTATAACATTATATTGACCACGACAAATTCTACCTTACATATGGCTGGATACTGACTTTTCGAAATAAGCAATAAATCTTTTAGAGCTTTTGTTGAAAGTCTGTATGGGAGATCTTCAGGAACCGTTGGTGGGAAATTTTTATTTGCAGCATTAGTGATCAATAACAAAGCCTACTTCATGTAAGATTATAAATATAATTTTTCGTGTATTTATCAAATTTTGGTGAATCTTAGTATGAGAGATTTTTGCATAACGTTGGCCAATAATTTTGGTTTAGAGCCGTATTCAGAAATTACGAAGCCTACTTTCTACAGGACCGTCAAAATACTTTCTCATATACCTCATAATATATTCCAGGGACTTAAGATGTCGGGAAATTCCGATTTACAGATCACAAAATATACTTTATATGGGGTCATAAGTGTGCCTTTCCACATGTCTCATATAGTGTCCGACAGATATATTTTGTTTTTTATTCACCACTACATGTTAGGTGCGTCCCTTGTAGCAATGGCATGGCGCTTCCTCAGGTTACGGATGGAGGAGTCGCCCTCCAGATATGGAGAGAATTAGCAGTCGCGGACAGCCGACAAGGGGTGGTCCTCCAGGTGGGGGGTTGGGTGTGGGGATAACAACGCCTCCCCGTAAAAAAATAAGCTTCTTACGAAAATGTGTAAATAGCCTCGGACCCGGACGTACCATATGGATTGAACACTGTGCAAAGTGCAGTTCTGTAAAAATTTTCTTTCTGTCAAAATTTTGCCATGAATATGTTTCAGCATTTCAGCTCGTTTATTTTTCTTTCGAAACATATGTAGAATAACATAATTGCACCTAAATATAGCATGGGTTCGCAGTCGTAGCATGTTTATAGCCTGCAGAGAGAGAGAGAGTTGTCGAAATAATATTGAAAAATTCAGTTCGCACAACAAAGAAAACACATTGTGTTTTCAACACAAAAACCGAAGGAAATAATCGCTGGTATTTTGTTCTGAGACTCACAAGAAATACTCGTACATGAATACACTCTTTCACAAAATGTGACAGTTGGTACATACAGTAAGTATTCTATTCTGGGGATTTGCAAACCTTCACACGAACGCCAGCTAAAATGATTTTATGTCTCATTTCACGTCACATACACTCAGACGTTAAGCGAGTATAGTAAGTAAAGGTAAAGATGTCCCTGTGCTTAACTAATTAAGCACTACAGCATGAAGGCGTATGGGGGAGTAGATGTATAGATGCACACTTTCTTTACGTTGGCACTAGTTGGAGGTGAGTGGTCAGCTTCACGCCTCGGCCACTTTACCCCTAGGAAAGAGTCCCCGGTACCGATTGTACAGGAGGTTGAGTGGACCCCACAGACGGTCTGGAGGATTGAAGAAGTGAAAATTCTTGACCCTACCGGGACTCGAACTTCGAATATTCGGTCGTCCAGACCATAGACAGTCGCTATACCGACTACGCTATCTCGGCTCCTGATGATAGTAAGATATCCCTGTAACCGGACGTGGAGGTCCGTAGGGTTGTGAGAGGTCGAGGCTCCCACATTTTCTAGACAATCGACTCATAGATGGCGGTAAGGTTTCAGCCTTACGTTCCGGCCGCCCTTTACCTCAAGGATGATTCCAAGTAGTCATTTCTGTTAGAGGCTCAGTCGACCCCAGGGCCATAGTGCGGCTGGAAGGATTGGGTAATTGAAAAAATCCACCTCATCGGAATTCGATCCCGCGACCTTCCGGTTTGTAGCATAGTGCCTCAAATAATTACGCTACAGCATGGCCCCTTCCTGATGATAGTAAGTAGTCTACAAATTAAAAAGTTAATTATAGTTAACAAAACGCTGGTAATTTATTATTATTATTTTAAGATGTTCAGTTCATTTAAATTTTTGGCCAATTTAACCTTTAAAGCATAGTGGTTACTATATGTAACATCTTCCTACCATTCGAAACTCTGCAATTTACCCACGCAGTTTATTTGTGGGCCTCGAATGTTCCTCGGAATAGAAAGTTATTACCTCCCTGCACANATAATTACGCTACAGCATGGCCCCTTCCTGATGATAGTAAGTAGTCTACAAATTAAAAAGTTAATTATAGTTAACAAAACGCTGGTAATTTATTATTATTTTAAGATGTTCAGTTCATTTAAATTTTTGGCCAATTTAACCTTTAAAGCATAGTGGTTACTATACGTAATATCTTCCTACCATTCGAAACTCTGTAATTTGCCCACGCAGTATATTTGTGGGCCTCGAATGTTCCTCGGAATAGAAAGTTATTACCTCCCTGCACAGCACCGTTCGACTGGTCTTCGTAAAGGAGAAACAATTTCATTCACGGGGCGGGGGCCTGAATTTTTAAATGTTATTAATTTCAGGCTTCAAGGGATTAATAATGCTATAACGTGCCGAATTTATGCATCTTTGAAGAAGAATGCGATACTAAGTAACTAAGTCAATTTATGTGTCAGGTTTAAAGTTTTATTTTGATGTCATTTGTTGGGATCAGGCCCTAAATTTCTCTACTAGGATTCATTGACGTATCCAAACTTCATATTATTCTGTAATTTCTCCGTCCACTGGAAGAGCGGATTGCACAAACGTGCTGATGTTTTACAAGTGATATTTCATAGACTGCTTTCGATTTCCAAACGCAGCGACGTAGATCGGACGATACGATTTCTGGCATGTCTGCACATTCCTGCTGCTCTACATTCATATTTCACATCAGCAAATATATGCAAACACCTTCAAAATCACGACAGAAGAGAATTCCTTTGTTGCATATAATATTCTACACTTCCCCTGCATGACGAGGAGAGAGTGTTTGTAATAGCCAGGGCCCGGATTTTGATGACCTGAAAATATTTAAAAAATGACCTGTAAAATGACAGAAAAAATCCAGAAAAATGACCTAAAGGAGAAAAGAAAGTGCACTTCGCTTCCATATTATTCACATTTCAGAAAACATATGAAGAGAAATTCCATAAAATGGCCAAAAATGACAAGAAATACTCTTAAAAGCCCAAAATTTACGAAAAAATTACCTCCAAAATGAAAAAAAAGACCTTAAACCTAAAAATGTCAAAAAAAAATACCTATAAAATTTTCATTTCTGTAACCAGCAGCTCATATCCGAGGTTTATATATTTAAGAGCATTGCATAGGAGACAAGGAAAAAAAGATGACATGTCATTAAAATCCGGGCCCTGGTAATAACATTTGCCATGTGAATTGTAGCAAAGATATTTTGTCGAAGTTTGGTAGAGGGGAGGTCAGTTATTTTGTTTTAATCCAATCTATTGATATGTAGAGTTCCCAGCTTAATTGGTATTTGTTTACTTAGTCGACCATATTTTCAGTTTGCACTAGGTTCCTTTATGTACAGATGCGAGGCACAATAGACCACTGTGGTCGCGGTGCAAGGGCCAAGGAGACCCACCCCTTGTACATTCATTCATTCATTCATTCATGCACAAATGTGCCAGTTTTTGTATTCTAATATCTTACGTTCTCTTTATGTTTTTTTCTTTAGTTAAATTAATATTGTTTGCTCTTTCTACCATATTTCAAGTTTGTACCCGACCTTTTTTTTCGTTGATATTCTCTCTCGTGTAAATGCTATGCATAATAGAAGTGAAAAGACAAAAGTAGATAAAAATACTTTCATAAAATAATTTGTGTCGAATACACTACAGGCCCACCATCCTGTAAAAATCTCTAGATCCACTTTTCTCTTAAGTAAATGTGATAACATAAAAGCGTAATCGTGAGTTCATGCCTNTTACATGTCTTTTTTTTTTGCCAAATCTGAAACTACTTGAAGAGTTTCACAAAAAGTTGGTACTGTAATCTACACTAAAATTGCATGATTTTACTTTTGGTCAGTATCTGTAGCGGTAGCGTAGTTGGTTTAGGCACTGTGCTACCAGCCGGAATGCCGATGGTTCAAGTCCCGATGAGGTCATTGGATTTTTTTCCAATTGACCTAATCCTTCCAGCTGCACTATGGCCCTGGGGTCGACTCAGCCTCTAACAGAAATGAGTACCAAGAATATTATTGGAATATTCTTGGGGGTAAAGGGCGGCTGGCGCTTAGGGCTGACAACCTTGCCGCCATCCATGAGCCGATTGTCTAGAAAATGTGGGAACCTCAACATCTCACAACCCTATTGGCCTCCACGGCCTGTTACAGAGATACCTTTACTTTACTTTTACTTTTTTTATCTGTTCAGTATGAAAGCTGCTTTACATAAAATTAAAAGAGCGCTTTTTACGAAAGATGGTATAAAATATAGAGGCCTAAAGCTCTTTTATTTGTACAAATTTTACTTGAAGACTTTTTGTGTGGTGAATTCTTCATGAGGCATAAGGAGAAATGTTTCCTCTTTCTGTTGAATGTGTTATTCACAATGTGATTAATAATTTAATTGAAACAATTTACTTCTAATCAGAAAAGTAGATTTTTTGCTGGAATATATTAAAACACTGTGAGAAGAAATTCAAGGAAGGGAGCTGATCGAATGAATATGTTTTTGCCGGAAATAACAATTTTCACCCTCTTTCTCTTACGAACACGACAATATACACGTAACTTTTATGAAAAAGTTCAGATGCTCTAAATTCCTAAATTATTTTGTATATTTGATTTAAATGCATGGTAGCTTAGTTATTATATCGGGCATGTTTCTTCAGAAACATGTGTTTAACCATTGATCAATATATTGCAATAGTTGTACAGCTAGCTGTAATTCTCTAGTTGTGCAACAAAGAAGGAATCTGACATAACCAGTTAGTCAATTGTCTGGACCCTGTTAACACCATCGGTTCGAGTGTTAACGTCAGTATATATAAAAGGATTCGCAAAATATATATCAATATCAGACACCATGGTAACCATCAACGTAACATTCTTACTAGTGATACTAACAACTGTGTTAATAAGCTTCAATTTTTCACCAACGGTAAGTTGAAACATGCAAATATTAGTTCCATACTTACAATATATTCTAGTAGCTACAGGTTTGAGTGTCTATAAAGGAAACCCGGTATTTAGTAACTATAAAATTAATATTTCCATAGGCTTCTGGTCTCTCATGTCTCCCTGTCCGTTTCCCAGTATTTGTAGCCTACTCTTTTTCATAATTTTTGCATGAAGTTTCCAGTTATTTCAGATTTAATTACTCTTTCTGCCATAACTCAGTTTATAGCACTACTCTTATATTTTACTTATTATTCTGTCCTTTAAAATTATCCTTAGCAATATTTGCACTCCGGCTATTAAGTGCTCTGTTAGTAACGTTGCATTATTAGAGTTACATACACGCAATTCATTTACTTGGTTCAGAATTGCATAGTTCATGCCTGGTTGATAGGAGCGATTTTTTGACCAAATTTATCGATATTTTGACCGAGCAACACAGAAGGAACATATGATGTCAACGTTAGGTCTGTCTGACTGTTCTTTTTTTCTATTGCTAGTGGGGTTGGACTAAGTCCCTTGTACTACGGCCACTTCTGGCCTATTGTACCAGCCCCAGGTGATTGGATAGGGTGATTGTGGAGCAATTGGTGGAATGAAGATTGGCAGGGGAAACCGAAGTACTCGGAGAAAACCTGCCCAGCGCCACTTTGTCCACCACAAATCCCGCTTGACGAGACCCGGGATCGAACCCGGGCCGCCGCGATGGGAAGCCAGCAACTAACCGCTTGAGCTTTGGCGCGGCCTAATTTACTTACTTATGGAGCTGAGCCCTTCTTAAGGAGAAGCAAAACTGCAACTACTCAATAATTTCCCATCATTTTATGGAACCCGAAGGTTCATTACAGTGTTCTAAAGAACCTTCCACTGGTCCCTATCCTGAGCCAGATCAACCCAATCCATACCATACAATTCTATCTCCCTAAGATCCATTTTAATATTGTCCACCCACATACGCATTGGTCTTCCCAGTGGTCTCTTTCCTTCTGGCTTTCCCACCAATATCCTACATTCATTCCTCTTCTGCCGCATTCGTGCTACATGCTCTGCCCACCTCATCCTCCTTGACTTGATCATTGTAATTATTCGTAAAAGGAACAACATTGTTATTTACACATGATCATTATCGCTTTCCGGGACAAGGAGATGGGCAGACGGAAGGATATTGTGAAATATATACATACATACTCGTATATAATATACAGAGTAGCGTACCTGTGTAGAAAAAGAATCACTCAGATATGAAGAACAATTTTTGGCGTGTTAGTAGTAATCCTGTGAATTGTATATTAAATTTGATCAGTCTATATGTATGAAACGCCGGTCACGGTAGCCGAGAGGTCTAAGGCGTGCATTGTCTTCGCTCGCTCGGAAGCCGGGATCGTGGGTTCGAATCCCACTCAGGGCATGGATGTTTGTGTGCGTTTTTCTGTGTCTGTGTACAGGTAGAGGCCTTGGGACGAGCTGATCACCCGCCCAAGGAGTCCTACCGTATGTCTAAGATCTAGAAAAACCGAAGTGAACGGAGAAGTTCATGGAGGTAGGCCTAGGCCCACTGGGGCTGTAGTGCCAAGAAAAAAAAAATATATACACAGTCGGTACGACTTCTTGAACGGAGTATCAGCCTGTTTCATGGCCACTATCTACACACAGAAAAACACAAACACGAAATAAACGCACACAGACATTCATGCCTTGAGTGCGTTTCGAACCCACGATCCCAGAGTTGGAGTGGGAGAAGATATTTCATGCCTTAGACCTAGCGGTCACTGTGTTCGACAACAATGTAACTTCTGATGCTGCAAGCAAAATTTGGACATCAGTGTGTGTCGTATGAAAGATTTCTTATTCCTTCTAAACCTTGAATCCTTTAGGTTTTGCCGCTTTTCACAGGCTCGTTTCATTAATAGGTCTATATATGTTATTAGTATGTTCTATTCCACAGGCCAATGCCCACCTGAAGACTTGGAATACGCCGCCTAACGGGAATGTCATCCAACCTTTAACCGGAACTGACGCAAAGAACAAAGACGATATTTTGATGCCGAAGCAACACAGGACGAAACCACAGAAAGGCGAGGAAGCGGCTGCTGCAGGAGACTCCAAAACATCAGGGACTGATCTCGAGCCAAATCAAGATGACGAGGTAGCAACGGAAATGATGCAGACTCAATCCGGAAATGGAGGAAATGAAAACGGCAACCCAAAGGCGAAAGCTGAGAAATTAATTGCAAATCGCCCTGATAAAGAAGAAAGCGACAGTGTACTAAAGAACGAACCCGGTATCGTCGAGTCAGATCCAATTCAAAATGTAAATATTCTGGCTGAACCTTTTGCGTCAAGTCCTGTACTTAGCGAAGACAATGAAACGTCGGCTATGAACACAGCAGAAGTATCTAAGGATGTTCCATTGATTATCGTCTATGAAGATTCGGGCGTTGTTCTAGAAGATTCGGCTAGAGCAATGAATATGAATTCTGAAAGTAACCTCATGTCCAAACCTGAAAAGTCAATCATCATCACAGAAGAGGAAGCTGTTTCGGAAACCAATCCTGAGTCCCAAAAAATGATGGACAAACTTCGAAGAGTTGGAGAAGATACTGCCCTATTACATAACCTCACTTCCGAAATGAACACATTGACTCCCCAGGGAGTTGAAACTAAAGAATCCGTTGTAGAACCCTATGATTCAAATTCATTCGCCAATGAGGAACCTTTTTCAGTTGGGAACAACGGAGTCGGGAGAGAACCTTTGTCTGACAATGACGGCCGCCAAGTAATCCAAAATAACGTCACACAAAATACGTCTGTCAGGGAATGGAGGAATTACGACTGGGAAAAGAATGAACAATCCATAGCAGTACCGATTCTCACTATTATTGAAGGATTTTCTAAGCAGTTGAGACCTCACAACAGCGACGAAGAAACCGACACAGCCGATAATACCGGAAGTGAATCAGACAATTTCTGGTCTCCATACAATCGCAATGATCCTGAAGATGACGACGGATCACCGAAGAATACATTTTCTGTGTCCTTATATTCACGAGATGCTCACGAAGACAACCCCCAAGCGTCATTATACAAACTTAACAACGGAATGGATACGAGGTACTTCGCCCACGGTCATGACCCTTCTTACTATGTTGGCAATCCTGCTGGCTCAGCGTATATGAGACTTAGACGGGAAGATACATCGCAGTTGTGCGTTGTGCCCTGCTCGCCGGTAAACTACATCGTGCAACCATACCATTATGGGTACTATGATGCTGCATCTGACCACAGTTATGCGACCGGCGTGCAGTTACCCCATCTACACTTACCTCAGTTGCAATTACCTCCAGTAAAATTCCCAGACTTACATGACATTTCATCTCCACATCCCAGCGTTTCATTTGATGGACATGGAAGTCACGGCAGCTCAAGTGAAAATGCGCAGGGTCATAATTACGTCGTGACAAGTAATGCTCATGCCGGTGCTTCTCAAGGAGGACATCATTATGGGGGTGTTTCGTATTCACATGTTAAGGATCCTTCAAGCCACATGGCATACAGTCTGGACACACCACTCAAGTACGTTCAGACGTCCATGGTCCTCAAACCACCTCATCCGTACAAAAAAATATTTCCCTCCATGAACAATGTTTAAAAACAGAACATAAACCTCCAGAAATCTAGTTATTTCTAAACAGTAATGCTCTCGAGGAACGATAAGATTGTATATAGGAATATTTATTATCATCATCAAGTGGACATCAGACCCTTCAATAAACGGATCGTTACATAGGTAAAAAAACAAATTCCTTCAAGACATCAGAAAATGTTGTTGATGTTTCATGTTGTCACCACTGTAATATCTTAACTGTTTTTCGCATTCATCGTACTAAATATAAGTAGACTGTTTTCAAAATGTAAATCACACTCTTTATATGAAAATGATGTTGTTATATTCTGTATTGTTAACATCAGAATGCTACAGAGGAAGAAATTTCTTTTTGTAATAAACTACCTACTTCAGCGAATATTATAAACATTTTTTCCTTCAAGTACTTCGCGAAACATCATCTGAACTACAAGCAATGTGCAGTAAAAAAAAAAAAACCACGAACCCGTTCTTTCTGCATTAAAAGGAGGGAAACACAAGAAGATGGTGAACACTGTATAATTTGTATCTTCTTCGTAACAAGATAAGTGTGATAACACGATGCGTGATATGTGGGCGTGTCCGTCAATCTGTGAGCGGCGAGAAAGAGAGAATATAAAAAAATAAATACAGATTGCGCTTTTCAGAAAGATGACGTCTACAATATCATATATCCTGAAAATGGAGGTAGCAGATTTCTCTGAAACATTGATACATATCCAAAAAAAAAAAATACACGGCGTCACGGCCGGGAGCTTAATGTCCACCGCTATGACAACCTCAGATAAATAAACAAATATTTGTACATAAAATCTTATTTGGAAAATTTCAAATTTGTAGGTCACTTTCGTCATATAGGAGTGTACGGTAGAATATTAGTAAGATTAGCGTGTAGTTCGTCAAAAGTCAATCGAAGTTTCGAAAGAACATGACGCCTCCATCTTCAGGGTAGACTGCTTCATGCTGGTATCTTACTTCCCTTACTGTTTATCCTTGAATATGTGGGCGACATGCTCCTCCCAAATGTCGGAGGAGCGGACTACATGGCATTATACCCCAGAAGGTAGAACTCTTCATAACCACTGCGAGAACCCAAGTCATACTTGGTTAGGCTAGCTGGCTGTTTTACAGCGCTGTTAGTGTGGAGAGTATATAAGCCGAAAGGTAGGACAGTTAATGAGTGATGTAATGGGAAGCATTTGGAAGAAATCAATCGTGGATTAAACTAGGCACTCTCCCAGAAATTGCCTGGAGGTACTTAATAAAACCATGAAAATCCTCAGGAATAATAGCCGGTGTCCCGGACGAGATTCGAAGTAAGAAGGACACAAATATGAGTCCTGAAATTCACCTGAAATTATGAAAGATTTTGGTATGAAGGGGTTGAACTAGGTTCAACGCATTTAGAACCGGTTCAATGCCGGTATTGTGTAAACATACTAATGAACCTACATTACAAGTAATCCCTTGAACAGAAGAAAGCTATCGTCGTTTTGAGGAAGATTCGCTACAAAGGAATTAGCAAGTACAAGATTGACAAACACTTTATGTAATTCATTATACTTGCGAAATTAAACGTACGTTTAACCAAATATTGAGATTTCGATAGAAAAAAAAAAAGAATAATATTGTGGCGTGTCGCCAGAAAGCCGGAATGATTGAGGAGATCGAGGTTGATTTCCTAGGCAACGAGCAGCGTTCCCACTGCAACGTCTAGGAATTGGAACACATCCATTACTATACAGCTGCTAGCAGACATAAGCAACGAATTGTTCGAGACAGTCGCATGACAACGGCTAGGAAAACCCATAGCAACGAGAGAATACGCTAGCTAATTAGTGAAGTTACCGCTACAACGAAACAAAAGGACAGATTTAACAGAAGTACTTTAGGGTACGTCTAAGTATTCCCCTCAAAGCGAAGTGGTAAATATGTGTAGCATCTGCTTTAACATATTGGATTTCGCCGATACAGTACAGCCATGTCTTTCTATGATGCCCAGAACATACAGCTGTTAGCGACATAAACATCATTAATAAAGTTATTTTTGTAATGGAAATATTCTACGTTTTCTGAGGGAGAGTAACCAAATTTTAAATATTATTCAGATTATGAAGAAAGCAGTCTTCTGGGATTTGNACAGTCTAATGGATTAGTTGCTACGTGGACACATTCTGAAGCTTCTAGCAGTTACTGCAGTGTCTGCAGGTTTTCACTTGTTTGGTTTGCAGGATTGAGAAACTCAAAGCAACAAGAACGTCGTTGTCACTGCAAAATAAATGCTGATGACATTGCCGTCTCCAAGCAGACTGTGTTCCTCACTGCATTTTCAAAATCAACATCGCCTACAGTACTTAAACTTGTTATAGGCTTAATTATTAAATTACTACTGTAACACCCGTTGAGGATTCGACAGAGAACCTCGGTAATTCTTACATAAGAATTCATGCTACTGATTTCCCTCTCTTTCTCCTGTATCTTCCGACCCTGCATGTTATCCAGTGATATAGGAGAGTGGAAATTTAACGCTATCTCCCACGAATAACACGCACAAATAGTCAATCGCAAACCATCTCATTTGTATAGTATTCAACATGAAAATATTATCGGCTCTCACATACTAGACACAATACACTGAAACGAAATGCTGTTCATTCCTTCGTGGCCTACTACATAACTTATATTTATGCACCGTAAAACAATCAACACTTCGTTGCTATGGTAGACGGAAGTTGCGTAATTTCAGAACTTCTATCTGACAATCACATTAACCCATATATATGCATAAGAACTCAGAATGAGCGTAGTTGGTTGAGACACTATGCTACAAGCCGGAAGGTCGCGGGTTTGTAATTCCGAGGAGGTCATTGCATTTTTTTAATTGACCTAACTCTTCCAGCCGCACTATGGCCCTGGGGTCGACTCATCCTCTAACAGAAAGGAGTGCCAGGAATCTTCCTGGGCCGGTCACGGTAGCCGAGCGGTCTAAGGCATGTACTGTATTCGCTCGCTTGGAAACCGGGATGTTGGGTTCGAATCCCATTCAGGGCATGGATGTTTAGTTTGTGTGTGTGCGTTTTTCTGTGTTTGCGTACACGTAGAGGCCTTGTGACGAGCTGATCACACACCCAAGGAGTCCTACCGAATGTGTAAGATCTAGAAAAACGGAAGTGAACGGAGAAGTTCATGGAGGTAGGCCTAGACCCACTGGGGCTGTAGTGCCAAGGAAAAAAAAATCTTCCTGGGGTGTAAAGAGAGGCCGGCGCGTAAGGCTGACAACCTCACCGCCATCTGTGAGCCGACTGTCTACAAAATCTGGGAGCCTCGACGTCTCACAACCCTATGGGCCTCCATGGCCTGTTACAGGGATGGTTTTACTCTTTTTACCTTTATTTGGAATGTGACGAGGATAGAATTTACAAGACATCCTGGCCGTTCCTCATCAATGGTAATCACTGGGCATTTTGGTTGAGAAGGAACTGTATTCGTGGAACGGTTGAAAGTGGCGCTACTAACACGCAGCTTCCATTCATGTCGCAGTAGCTTTAAGACATTTATAAGCGGCGACACAGAAGTTGCAGACAGCAGCGCCCTCCATTCTCCCAGTAGGAAGCTATAAAATAGTTATAAGGTGAAACAGAACTTGGAGAAGAAGTACGAGGAACGAGATAAGAAGGGAAAGAAGCAAAAGCAGACAAGAAAAGAAATACGAGTACAATATATTTTTGCCTCAGATCACGGTCTCTTGAGATGTTACACTCTGCAGTTACGAATGTTTCAAAGTAACCAGTTACATCCTTCTTACACCCAGTAGATTGAGGCAGTAGGTTATTATTTTTCAATGCTAGTGGGGTGGAAATAAGTCCCTTGTACTGCGGCCACTTCTAGCCTATTGTACCAACCCCAGATGAAAGCTGAGGGTGATTGTGAAGCAAATGGAATGAAGATTGGCAGGGGATACCGAAATACTCGGAGAAAACTTGCACCAGCGCCACTTTGTCCACCACAAATCCCACTTGACCAGCCCCAGGCTCGAACCCGGGACGCCGTGGTGGGAAGCTAGCGACTAACCGCTTGAGCTATGGCGCGGTCAGTAGGTTAAGTTACTAACCATCTACCAAACTACGTGCCATCACATCTTAATATTCTCTGCACTGGAAACCTCAAAGCTAATTGCTCTTCTTGTTATTCCCCCGTACGTATGTTTTCTAGGAAATAACCAGTCCACATTTGTGGACTTCCCCCCCCCCTTGGCACTACAGCTCCAGTGGGCCTAGGCCTACCTCCATGAACTTCTCCGTTCACTTCGGTTTTTCTAGACCTTACACATTCGGTAGGACTCCTTGGGCGGGTGATCAGCCTGTCGTAAGGCCTCTACCTGTTCACAAACACAGAAAAACGCACACAAACATCCATGCCCTGAGTGGGATTCGAACCCACGATCCCGGCTTCCGAGCGAGCGAAGACAGTGCACGCCTTAGACAGCTCGGCTACCGTGACCGGCATTTGCGGACTTCTTCCTGGTGAAATAGACCTGAAAGTGGATCTGCGGGTTCAAGTCGTCTTGAACTAACTTACTTCATGACGGGCTTATGATTCAACCTTACACATATAATAGGCCTATCAATTAGTTGCTTTATATAATATCTAAGTTGGGGCACGCGGTAGTGTAGTTGGTTGAGGTACTATGCTACAAGCTGGAAAGTCGCGGGTTCGAGTCTCGATGAGGTGGATTTTTTCAATTGACCTAAACCTTCCATCCGCACTATGGCTCTGGGGTCGACTCAGTTTCTAGCAGAAAGGAGTACAAGGAATCTTCTTGAGGGTAAAGGGCGACAGGAGCGTAAGACTGACAACTACACCGCCATCTGTGAGCCGATTTTCTAGAGAAAATGTGAGATCCTCGACGTCTCACAACCCTATGGACCNTTCTAGCAGAAAGGAGTACAAGGAATCTTCTTGAGGGTAAAGGGCGCCAGGAGCGTAAGACTGACAATTATACCGCAATCTGTGAGCCGATTGTCTAGAGAAAATGTGAGATCCTCGACGTCTCACAACCCTATGGACCTTCAAGGCTTTTACAGGGATAGTTTTTTATACAATCGTTAAATAATTATTTCATTTTCTATGTTGCCAAAATCTTTATCAGTTTGTCGTTTAAGGACATTGCAGTATCATGACTATACTCGTATAGTGTCGATGACGAAAGTTATTTCTTTATTTCTCCACACGTACTCAGCTCGATGACTATTTTAAGGCATGAGACAGGAACAATGTTTGGAAACGTCGTACCACTGGAATTGTTCTTCGTGTGTTTATATACGACAAAGAATGAAATGATGGTGAAAGTACGGTCATTCACTCATGTTCAGTTAGCAG